GGAGGGGTGCGGCGGAGACTGCTCTCTAAACCAATTTTTTCTTGTTGTTACCACGATACCCCCCTCTAAGTCCACTTTTCCACCCTCCCCCCCCCCCAAATGGAACCCGACAACCCGATTCCAAATATTTTCGGTTTTTTAGCAATACTGTAGTAATTCACCGGGTTTAGACTAGTCGAGTAAAAAGTCTGTTCCAAAAATAGCTTTTACCTAGTCGTTTTTCTCTCTTTTTAGAAAACCAAGGACTTTTATGTCTCAGGAGGAAGTGTCTCCCCTGTGTTACAACTACATCTTCTCTGTACTTCTTCTCCCCTCGTGTTTACGACTACATCTTCTCTGTCCCTTCTTCTCCCCTGTGTACACTCATCTTCTCTTCGGTCTCTTCTCCCCTGTGTACAACTTACATCTCTCTGTACTTCCTTCTCCCCTGTGTACACTACATCTTCTCTGTACTTCTTCTCCCCCTGGTGTACAACTACGCATCTTCTCTGTACTCTTCTCTCCTGTGTACAACTACATCTTCTCTGTACTTCTTTCTCCCTTGTGTCGGCGCACAAGAGCTACATTCCGTTCTCTGTACGCGTTCTTCTCCCCTGTGTACAACTACACTTCTCTGTACTCTTTCTCCCCTGTGTTACAACTACATCTTCTCTGTACTTCTTCTCTCCTGTGTACAAACTTTACATTCTTCTCTGCTGCTTCTTCTCCCCTGTGTACAGCTACATCATTCTCGTTACTCTTCTCCCCTGGTGTACACTACTTCTTCTCTGTACTTCTTCTCCCCTGTGTACACAAACTACTTCTTTTCTCTGTACTTCTTTTCCCTGGTGTTTACAACTACATACTTTCTGTAAATTTTCGCCCTGTAGAAACGGAAATTTCTATCCTGCAGTTGTATAAGACGTGTGTTAGACGAGTACTGAGTGTCTTTGCTTAAGGAGGCTTCCGCTTAGAAGTTTGTGTATACCCCTGTGTGCAACTCTCTTCTAAAGAGCGTACTGAAGAGCGTGGGAACTGGGGCCGCTCCCTCTTTGGCCAGCGTTGAGAGGACTTGTTTTGGAGGACCTCAGAGTTTTCAGCGAGTGTTCTCGGTGAAATGTAGGTTATAGACTTGTGTGTGTGTGTGGTGGTGTGTGTGGTAGTCGTGGTGTGTGTGTGTGTTGTGTGTGTGTGTGGTGTGTGTGTGTTGCTGTGTGTGTGTGTGGTGTGTTTGTGTGTGTGTGTGTGGTGTCTAAACTCACTTTTTACTGTATTTTTCCACTAAAGTAATTATTAAATTTAATTTATTTCAAGATACATTTAAACCATGAACAATATTACTCCTGTTATTTCTGGGCTAGAAAACTCAACTTAACTTTCGCACCAACTCAAATATTCGTCAATAACGAATGACAGTTAGGGTAGATTTGGTATATTTTACGTGCAGAGACAAGAAATTAAAGACGATATGGAGTCGACGTGAAACCCGTACTATTTATGAATCTTTACCAGTTTTCTACTTTAGGACTACGACAAATTTGACGTGTCTTTACTTGTTGATTGTCTGTGTCTATTATACGTTTATGAAGTACACCGAATTTCTTCTGTTGGTCCACTTTCTCATTTTGTCCTTTTCTCTTTTAACTGTGGTCCTTGCAGGGAACATTAATAGTCGATGTACTTAATTTCGTTAGCCGAAACATAATGTTCAAAGGACTTTTTCACATAAAATTTTATCACGGTTATTAAATGCAATGCAGGTGCTACCATAATCACGATTGGAAAGAAGATTGTAATATTCTTTATATGACTGTATTGTTATGCTTTGCATAACACCTTATGAACCAAAAAGACCTAGAGAAGGAAGAAGGGTGAACACACTTTCTACATTTACGGCTTTTTTGGAATTTAACTGTTTTTCTTTTTTTTTATTAACCCGAGCCACAGGGTGGAAAATTTTTCTTGTGTTGAAGTGTTACCATAAACAAGATAAAAGAGAGGGTCAGTAAAAAGTGTGGGTTTGTGATAACTATATGTATGTATGAAGTATGTTTATTATGAATGTATTTTGAAAATTTAGACGGGACATGAGATTTTAGATTATATGACATAAAACAGTAATAACTGGATTCATGTATCATTAGGAGATATTGTAGCAAAAACTTTATGAAGAGATAAAGATTTAACAAAGTTGAACATTAAGGAAGAGAATGTGGCATAAAGGAGTAGACGAAAATACAAATCGTGGGGTGATACAGGTTTCGTTTAAGGAACATATACAGCTCGGATGACCTGTTATTTGGGACTAAGACTAGTGTAAGTCGGCAACTAAACTTCCACAACTTGATTACTATTTGGGCAAAAAAGACATATTATACAACGGTTAGGAAAATAAACGTTAATGTAGCCGGTCATTAATGTGTAATCGAAGGGTAGTCAACCATTTCTAGTTTTTTGTTTAGAACTTTGCGGCCAAAACGACTGTTTTAGACAAGAACTAAATATTCTCGTTAAGTTGACCTTTACGTAGTTAACCTTTCTTCGTGGTTAACTTTGGGAACCTACGTAAATATCAATATTAGCTGTTATTTAGGAAATTACATTGACTTGCAATAAACCCCCTTTAATGTAATTGACCCGGGCTCATTCTTACTCTTCACAATGTACAGGTAAAATTTGACATGTTATAAATTCAGCTGGGTAAGAATGTTCGAAAAAATAATACCGAGTTGCATATAGTCGTAAAAAACGGTTTAATATGTCGGATACATAATACTAAGGACTATTTAGACGTTGCAGAAGTAATAATGAAACTTTATGGAGTGTTGTTACGTGAGGTTGTTGTGTTCGTTATTTTAAGAGATATATTCCAGTAAGTCCAGTCGACATTTCAGCTTTTTAGTCCGTTCTAGTAGGCAGTTATGTTGACATCGGTTAGTCCAGTCCAACACACACACACACACACCCACACACATCACACACAAACACACACACACACACACACACACACACACACACACACCCACACACACACACACACACACACACACACACACCCACATCACTCTCTCTTTGAGTGGCTAAAAATAGATTCCGGAGAGACTCTAAAGGTCCAGCAGGTACTTTTTAGACACACTGCACTGGAGAGGGCGTAACATCGAAGAGGTCACCAACTTGGACTTTGTGCTCATCTAAAGTAACAGACAGAGAATCAGCACTTTGGAAACAGGGCTGAAACAGAGGGGATTATGGGTAATGCTGCAATGATCTGTTTGGTGTTTGGAGCCAAACACTGCAGAGACATGTTTTGTATATATCTGAGACCTTTAATATATTGATGAAAAACATTATAATAGGGGAGCTTTAAACTGTGCATGGAGTAACTGTCTGTTCATGTTCAGATCTTCCAAGAGCTGAAGAGCAAGGAGTTCAGTGAGACGTTTCGGAAGATCATCTCGAGGAAAGATGGGATTCGCTCCTTTGGAGGAATGTCAAGAAAATCCAGCGAGGGGACACAGCACTCCTACTCTGGTGAGAAAGTGTAATAATCATTTATAAGTCTGCATTAAGAATTATATTTGAGTTTAATCAGCTAAATGTACCTTCAAGTATTAATACTAAAAGTCTATCATGCAGAAAAACATTTAAAAAACAAGAAAAAAAACAACATAACCAAATAAATACATTCCAAAACAATGTTTTAAACATTTACATTTGTCAATACATTTGATATGTTATACTTAAAATGTTTAGAAAAAAAAGCATAGTCAGTTAAATGTACATTAATGTATTAACGTATCATGTAGAAAATAAAAAAAATACAGTGAAAATGTATAATTGTCTATACATTTAATATTTATACAAAACAACTTCATTTGTAAAGAAGCTTAGCCGGCTAGAGAACTGAACTAGAAAGACGTTAATTCCTTCTGAATTTAATGAAGTAGAAAGTAACTTCCAAAAGAAAAACCTCAAGTTTAAGTACCCTAAATGTGTAGTCTACAGTCCTTGAGTAAATGTGTGTGTGGTTGTGTGTTTGTTTAGATGAGGAAAAGGTGGCTTTTGTCAACTGGATCAATAAAGCTTTGTCCAAAGACCCAGACTGCCAACATCTGCTGCCCATGAACCCAGACGATGAGAGCCTCTTCGCCTCGGTCCGTGACGGCATCTTGTTATGGTAACACTCTCAAGGAGGAATCTGAGACATCACATATCTGAAAACATCATCATTATTTACCCAAACGCTTTGTTGTCTTACAGCAAAATGATCAACCTGTCCCAGCCTGACACCATCGACGAAAGAGTCATCAACACCAAGAAACTAACCACCTTCACAATGACAGTGAGTGGTAGATTTCCATCATCCTAATACAGGGGGTCCGCGGGGTCTTAAAAAGTATTAAATGGTATTTTCCAAGGTATTACATTTTGTAGCTTGTTTTCAATAAGTATATAAATGTTCCAAAGAGGTTGTATTCTACAGTCTGCCTGAATGTAATCATTGCGTAGGTGTGTAGTGTGACTCTGTGTAGTTTATTTATGGCATCCCGTTGGATTTGACGTCATCTGAACAGGACATCGCACGCTCACTGCTTGATAGCGCGCAAAGGTCCATTTACGCCGGTTGTTAAACATCGTTATGGGGAAATGCAAGTCTGCGTCCAAATGGTTGGAAGATAAGGAGGAAGGACAATCGATACTGTATATAGTCAATGTGAGGTAAAGTGTGTTGCCAATGTATCCGGTTAAAACTCCAAGTGGCGATGAAGTCTTAAAATGTATGGAAAGGGTCTTAAAAAGGTCTTAAAAGGTCTTACATCTGACTTCAGGATTCCTCCATATACCCCGTTTGCTGCCGTCACTCTTCACATTCTAACAGCAGACAGATCTTGGTAATTGGCCTCTCCAGCACACTGGTTTGTGTTTTAACTTTGACAGCTCGAACCAGTCCTTTTCCAGTATTTCACCTGTTTCCATCGGGTTCTTACGTACAGGTCGTTGTCAAAAACGCCAGGGGGCAGAATTGGCTTGGTTTTTAAAAGCAAGATGTGATTTGGGGCTAGAGGCTCCAGGTCTTGAGGGTCATTTGAGACTGTTGTGATTGGTCGACTGTTCAAAATGGCCTCAACCTCACATAAAAGGGTTTGTAGCCCTTCTTCATCCAAAGTCTCAGACTTTATCAGACGCTCCCATACTCCTCCATGGTGGGATGCTCCTGGGGGGTTGAAACTCCACTTTATGCCTTTTTGCAGCAGAGTTCCCTGAATTCTGTGCTGGTTCAGAATGGTGAGCGCTTCCTAACTCTCTCTGAGCTTCAACAAAATGGGTCCCATTGTCAGATCTTATTTGTTTCACTTGACCTCTTCCGCATTTGAATCTTCTCAAAGCGTCGATACATGAGTCTGTATCAAGTGAGCTGGCGACCTCAGCACAGCTCTGCTTGTCATGCACGTGAACAGCACTCCGTTGATGCACTTTTTTTACCTTGAAGTCAGTCATCTTCTGAAGATCTAGCTTCCATGTAACCCACTGCTAACTAACCAGGTATGTTCTCATCCCAACCGTAGCTAGTTCTACACAGCTCTTGTAATGGCAACTTGGCAGGCAGGCAGGGTGCAAGGAACCCAAGAGGATTCTAGATGGAGCTCATAGATAATATTCCTCTCCTTGTGTGTGGTTGTGGCTTGATGCTGACATTGAATGTAAAATGGTCCTCTTCCACACACCATTCCACTCCAAGTGCTCTCTCAGTTGCGAATGGCGATCGGCCATATCGAAGTGCAATTGTAAGTGACGCCATTGGCCCAAATTTGTAGAAAAAAAATGACACTGGGATAATTTACATATTGACAGATGGGCAATGAGGATATTAGCTCCCTCGTGTGGTCATAGTGTGATGTGAACACCTTCATGTTGTCAATCAATCAGTTGATATAGATCACCAAATGTATTAATGAGAGCACCTTGCATTTAATTGATAGCATTACTGTTTTCTCTCATTAATTGAGCTTGTATTCCATATGTTTAGTGTATTCACAATGAATTATTACAATGACGCATTAACAGTGTGTGAAATTGGACTTTTAAAATGTGCTATATTTATTATGATAAATACACCACACAGACCTGCTGCACCACCACACCCCTTCCCGCTGCTCAAAAGAAGCCAACCTCCTATCCATCCCCATCCGCTTCAAGCACCGGACCTGGGGGGACAGAGGCTGCCCCCTCCCTCTGGAACTCACTCCCCCAACCCATCAAAGTCTGCACTGACCTCACCACCTTCAAAACACGTACACAATCTCACCTCTTCAATCTGGCTTTTAATGTTTGTTTTTGTATTATTTTACTCTAACTATATATATCAGATTGTCATTAGGGAGAAGAAAGAATTCTCACATCTGATATATATAGTTAGAGTAAAATAATACAAAAACAAACATTAAAAGCCAGATTGAAGAGGTGAGATTGTGTACGTGTTTTGAAGGTGGTGAGGTCANCTCATGCTGGGACCTACTACTGTGCTGTTGCCTCCTGTGGACACATACTGTTTGGAAACGGGACCAAGCTGGACTTTGAGGGTAAGTAACTTTCTAGCAGAGGTTGTTGCAGTTCTCATTGGTACTGTCTTACCAAACTTTGGATAAAAACCTACTGAAAGCTCTGTTTCTCTCTACAGGTGGCGTGGACTCTGGTTTCTTGGTGCATTTCTCCAGTATAGCTTTGACATTCACCACCATCCTGAGTGTTTTACTGGCTTTCTTAGTGTGCATGATGAACAAGAAAAACAGCTGCCAATCCACAGGTAACTTGTACGGTTTGTATCATATGGCTTGATTTTGCAGAATTTGGCCTTTGATTAAAAATAATCATTTCTGTTTTTTTCCAGTTCCGTCCACAGCAGAAGCCGAGGTGAGTAAAATCAGTTGACCAAACTGCTAAATTACCATTTAAACACCCTATTCCTTCCAAATTATTTTCCTAGAAATAGTTTTTATTTTTTGCAGGATCACAATAATGATCTACTTATATATATATTGTGTTGCAGGAGTACCAACGTGGAGAAAAGATCTACTATGCTGCTTTAGGTGTGAACATGAAAAACAGATCAAGAAGACAGAGGGATCCAACCTGGAGTGAATGTGTGTATTACAGCGTAAAGCAGTAGAACCTGACATGGTGCAATTTGTAATTTTGAGTAAAACATGTGTTTTTGTTTTCTCTTCCTTGTGGTCCGTAGCAAATTTTTTTTTTTTTTCCGTAGATGTACATTTTAGCATAGTATTTTTCCACTTTGTGGTCGAAGCAGGAGATGACCGAAACGTTCTTTCAAATAAACCATCTACTGCATCTAAAGATATATGATTTTTTTAGTACTTGTATGACTTAACCTGTAGCCTATATTTAGAAGCTAAGATGCTGTAAAAGTCACTTCAATACTTTTAAGTTTAGGACCTTCTTATTTTTTTTTACCAAATCAAATGTGTAATTTTGTTTGTGCAATTTCTGTCATTAATCCAATAAACATCAACATTCGGAACAATACTGTGTGTGTCTTCTTGTTAAATCCAACAGTTTTTCTTCGCACTAGTAGCACCGTCTTTTTTAGAAAACTTGGGTTCCCTAACCCACCCCAATATGTGAAAAACTCAAGTCATACAGGTGAATTATTTGAACATTTACCCCTGTACAGTTGCCATATAGTGGAAAGCTAGCTATATGGACCAAACCCTTTTAAACTAGGCTGGAAACGTTTCTCTTGGTTGTAATGTTGAGCATTTTAACATGAAGGTCATTGGGGTTTGACTTGCTTTTGAAGCCTGCTTAAAGTGGCCATTCAATGAACTGCAGATTTGTTACACTTCTGTGTAAGCTTTATTTTTCAGCAACCCAGGTTTCGCTTGGCTACGACTTACAGAACTTGCAAAGAACTGGCACAGTCAGCTAGATCATTCAGTAAATTACATTCTCATCATTAGCTGTTTTGGAAAGCTAAACGTGCAATACAATTGCTAACTTCTTAAATATATCAAAGTGGTAGAGAATGTGGTATCTCCCTATAACAAAAAATCATGGAAATGCGAACATATACAAATGAGTGAAAGAGTCAATGCATATTTTAAGCCAACAGTTTTTAATCTGGCCATTTGGCTAACGCTTCAAAATATTATAAATCTCAATAGAGCTCATATAATATAAAATGAGAAGCCAGCTAACAGCATTGTTTTTTTCACTTGAGTTAAGGGGGGGAGGGGGTGTTTGGACGCACAAAGGTTAGTATCAGGAAGTGTTCTGCTTTAATGCGTCACAGTGGTCCGTTCTGGTGCAGATACAAAACATAGACAAATAAACTCAACAGTCAGTATCTTTTTTTGTGTTGTATCTCTTAGTGCAGCAGCGTTTGTGGTTTTGAGCAGGATGTAAGGGTGTTTGCTTTCTCACATAGATGATACTTCATTGAGAGACCACTTGCAGTCCTATTTCAAAGGTAGAATACTTGTTAGGTCACATTTAACAATACGGAAAGTACTAATACTTAGAGGTCCGGTTAAAAGTCCTTTTGGTTTGAATATATTGGTGATACATACTGTCTATGCATTGAATTAAACCAATGTCTCCCTTTGTATGGCTCCATTATCACTGAGACATGTGCCCATATCAACAGGCCTATGGAAGGAACAGTGTTTCTTTTTGACTTGCTTCAATAATCACCTTTTGTTATAATAATAATAATAATAATGTTTTAACTAACAAAACCCATCATGGAGCCAATAAAGATTTACATCATGCCATTGTTTTATTGACTTTCCTCTGTACATGTTCCACATACCTCTGGCCCAGTATAGTATTTTAGAGTCATTTGTATCCAATATTCCTTTGATATTCTCATAAACTTACAAGAGGGGTAATATGGATTTCTGGGTCTTAAAATACCATCCATTTTGATGATTAATGGCTAACCTGTCGTACTAACCAAGCTATAGCAAAAGCAAATGCAGTTGGGGTAATTTATTTCCCATTTTGGAAAATGATTGTGCCAGCTTCCTGTGCCATTTAGGTTAAAATTGTCCAAGAATAATTTTCTATTGACTTGTAGAATTGGTAATCAATGTGAAAAAAGAAAAGTGCAGTCCATATCATGTATATGTAACGTGCACTGAAACAACAATTCTGCAATTTATAAAACATGTCCTTTTTAAAATTCAAGAAATGTAAGTCCATGAGATAAGGTTCTACAAAATGACTTGAAAGATCATATTCTCTTTGGAGAGAGACTTAAAAATACATAGTCAATCCATTAATATTATAGGTAATAATACTGTACAGTAGATAGATAGTTTATATGTCATGCCAACATGAGAATATCTGTTACATACTTTCTAAAATGTGATCATATTCAAGCAACACATTGACTCTGTAGGTGGCAGTAACCCTGTGACCATGTTTCCTTTATGGGACATAGTTTAAAGTGTCACCTCTGATTGGCCAAACAGATTCAGTGTTGTTTCTTAAGAGTGGAGAGAGCATCGAGATGCATCATTCAACGCGGCAACACGATGACATCTCATGTGATCATGTTATATTTCGGATTTCTAATCTTCTGGAATACTGGTGAGTTGTATTTTTGTGGTACAAAATTGTATCTTTTATATCCCCATGTTATTTGTCCGAATCCTTGTTGTGTGTCGAGTTTATTTTTCTATACTTCTGCATTTGATTTGTCTCTCCTATCTCTTCAGCTCAGATGACGGAGCTGAAATTATCGTCATCTGTTCGTCAAGAGAGTGGTATTCTATCATTTAAAACTGGGGACGAGCTTACTTTGAAATGTTTCCATGGGAGTAATGTTGACACAAGATTTTACTGGTACAAGCAAACTGTGGGACAGAAACCAAGGCTTATCTCAACCTACTACAAGTACGAACCAAATGGAACATTTCACGATGAATTCAAGAATCCACGTTTCGCATTGGATACGGAAAAAGGACAAAATCACCTGAAGATAAGAGATGTGAACATTTCAGACTCAGCCACTTACTACTGCGCAAATAGCCATTCTTACCAGTTTGAATTCAGGGAGGGAATTACAGTCGATGTAAAAGATTCAGATTTGAGCATCTCGTTTTTAGTCCACCAGTCAGCATCTGAGATCATCCAGCCGGGAGACTCTGTGACTCTGAACTGTACAGTACACACTGGCAGCTGTGATGGAGAACACAGTGTTTACTGGTTCAAAAACTCTGAAGACTCTCTTCCAGGACTCATTTACACCCGTGGAGGCAGTCAGTGTGAGAGGAAACCCAACACACAAACACACACCTGTGAATACAACCTGCCAAAAAGCGTGAATCTTTCTCATGCTGGGACCTATTACTGTCCTGTTGCCACATGTGGACACATACTGTTTGGAAACGGGACCAAGCTGAACTTTGAAGGTAAGTCACTCTACTGGGAGGGTTTTTCCTTGAAGTCCTTAAAGCTGTGTAATGTGTCCTGATGTCTGACTCTCTACAGATAAGGTGGATTTTCTTATCTTGGTGTATTCCTTGAGTGGAGCTTTGGCATTCACTCTCATTGTGATTGTCTTACTGGTTTTCTTACTGTGCATGATGAGCAAGAGAAACAGCTGCAAATGTACAGGTACTGGAACTAAGATTTTTTAGACTGCGCTTATAATGTGTACCCATTCAACACAACACTAGAGTAAAATATATTTTTATTATTTTCAGAGTCTCATGCAAGTGTTCCAGCTCCCTCCACAACAAATGCAGAGGTATCTTATGTTTGATCAACTTTTACCATTGAAACCTTTTTATGAACACAGTCTTTGTTTTAAGTATAATTGTGTGGTTTATGTTTTGTTATTAGGGTGACCAAAATGAAGTGAACATCCATTACTCAACTGTAAAGGAACATAAGGTCAACCGATCCAGGAGACAAAGGAACACCACCAAGACTGAATGCGTGTACTCAAGTATTAAGTAGTCCAACTGTACATGTTTTATATTTGTTGCTGTTCAAAAAGACAAATAAAAGGTCTTCTAATGGTTTCAAAGCAAGCCCAAAAATTGGACTGGATGAACTTGTTTTTTAATCTAACATTAGAGGAGGGACATACAATTTTAAGTAAACGCATCAACCCAATGGTACCCCAACTTGTGGACAGCCACGATACCAACATTGGTTTGTCTGGACATGTTCATCTACCAGAAAGACACTTCCAAATTCAACAATTATCTTGCATTGAGGTTCCGGTTTTCCAGGACTGTCATACGCAGTACGTGATGGGTCTGTGTCTAAGTACTTAAGAGTATCTTCAAAAATGTACAATATATGCTTCACCACCATGCGAGATAGAACTGTATGAATTCACACTGTTACAGGAAATGAGAAAACAGAAGTTAAGACGGCTAAACATTATAGTAGAGAAAGAGCAGGTATAGTTCTACATTCCAAAGTGGAAATATGACTTTCATCCCATAAGTAACTTAAATCCTGAATGTTTAATCAAGCCGAAGCAAGCCTTAATATTGTCGCAATCTTCAAGACAGTCACACTTCTGAATAAAAAAAAATGTAAACTGAACTGATCTTGCTACATTTAAAGTTTTCAGAGTAAACATTCACTGGCTTGAGTCCAAACAAATCTCAAAGTATACAGGCCTCATCATTTTTAGATCAGCTTACTACAATGAGTCATGGGATCATAGTTAATGGACTTATTTTTTACTATTTTGCCAGACTACTCAATAAGACATGTTTCACACAGACTCAATTGTTGTTTTGTTTTTACACACACACACACACACACACACACACACACACACACACACACACACACACACACACACACACACACACACACACACACACACACACACACACACACACACACACACACACGTTGTTGTGTTTTATTTTCAACTAATATCCACATGCCCACTTTTTCTCTTTGGTTTCCACCTATAATGGCTTATATGCTGTTGCACTACACAAATCATCTGTGCTTACGGAAGAAACATTGCAACCTTTAAGAACTCAGTGTTTGACCCAACAATAACGTGAGTTTAGAAAAACAACATGGGAATTTACACCAATTAAACAGCTGATGGAAGGACCACTGAAACGATTAGCACCTTTAAGCTCATAATCAGTTCAGAAAAAATTACAAATAGCTCCTTGTTTACCTCTCATGGTATCTAGTAAATACATGTTTTTGTCCCAGATATTCAAATATTCTCTAATATATCTGCCTCTGCCCCTAAATAATAATGGAGTGGGACTACTTTATACTGAAGAAATAGTCCCTCTGAAAACTGCTGTCACTGTTTCTTCAAAGAGCCCACGCTATTCATTGTTTTTTTTAAACGTTCTAGTTTGCCGGTTGGCTTACATCATTCAGGTCAGTGTAACCAAGTGCTATAGTACAGCTGCAGTTATGTTGAATTATTTATTATATACATACATACATTATAAAAGCCTTTTGCATGTAGACACACTTTCAGTTTGAGAACTCATGACATCTTTGCAAAAGTCTTAAGTCTACAAAATGTGTGTGGCCCATTGTTCTGGAAAGTTTGCATATATACTGAAGTTTCCATTTTGCCAACCTCATTGTGGTTTACCTGTGAGTTGCCATGTATGATCATTTATAGTATGTATTGACTCATTGGCTCTTTACAAAGTAAACACATCTTCAAAACCATTTTTTGCTGACACTTAGTTGAAAAACAGGCCATGGGGAAGGTTTTTCTTGCTTCAATGTGAAACAGCCAATCATGTTTAACAAGGTAAATATGCTGAACCAATCAGACCTGACGGATGTGCCCCAAATGTAGGACAAGTTGTAAATGAGTTAAGTCAGAACTGCTGCTGAGAAGAAGCCGGGCCAGTGAACGCAGATAAAGAAGACAAGATGATCGTGAACTTTGTGAATTTCTTCCTGCTCTGGCCTTTGTGTAAGTAACCACGATCCACTTGTGGAATCTTTTCATCATCAAACTAAAAGCTAATCTCTGTCTTTATGTTTCAGGTCTGGCACAGACGGATGACATTTCTCAGCCGGTTCCTTTCCAAATGGTGAAGATTGGAGACTCGGCTACTATTGAATGTCACATAAAAAGTATCATACAAAAGAAAGTCTGGTACAAATACACGTTGGGGAAGAGACTACAGCTTGTGGTAGCATTTAATGATAAATATAATTGGAGTGAAATTTCAGAGGAATTTCCTAACCGTTATTCAGCCAAATTTAACGGAACCAAAATCCACCTGAGCATATCTGCGACAACATGGGAAGACGTTGGAACATACTTCTGTGGAGTCGTGCAATTAAAAGACATCCAATTTGGATCGGGAACCTTTTTGATGCTGAAAGGTATTTTGTAGGTTGTTATCAAAGCACCAAAGGTCATTTTAACGTAATGCCAATTATGTAATTCTTTGATTTGCATCCCAAGGTGCAAACATGATCAGTGAGTCTGTCATCCAGCAGCCTGAGTCAAAATCAGTCCAGCCAGGAGACTATGTGACCGTCAGCTGCTCACACACAGGCCACTGTGCAGCAAAACACACTATTGTCACGTGGCTGAAGAACTCTCAGCATTCTGCTTCACAAATTATTTACTTCTCTGGAAATGGGACCTGCCAGAGGAAAGAGAGTGGAAAAACAACCTGCGTGTACAGACTTCTTCTGAGGGACCTCAGCTCTGATGATGATGCAACCTACTACTGTGTCGTGACTTCCTGTGGACAGACACTGGTTGGAAATGGGACCAGAATTTATATTCACAGTAAGATAGAAACTATATTTATAAAACTGTTCAAAGTTCTTCTTATTCGTAAACAATTTTGAAAATAATAAACGCAGATATCGTGTATTTATGTACCCAACCGTTCTAAAAAGCCCAGAGTAAGTCCAAGCTTAATCAAGCTGATTAATTGTGATAGAGTTGCTATGAAAACCAAAAACTATTTGCATGGATAAATTAAATTGCATATAAATACGATATGTACGAGGGCTAGGGTCGGAGTTGGAGTGTTGTATTCTGTGTGATCTGACCCTTTAATATGTATTACTGCCTTAAACTGTCAACAGTAGCCTAAGTGGCGGAAATGTGAGCGTATTTAGTCCAGAGAATACATTAAAGTTTTTGAAATGAATGACATTACACTGCTAGGTATTTGTATCAAAGATTGAGACTTATTAAGCACTGTTTGTTTATTTTCTTCTGCAGACAATGCTTTCGAATCACAACTAAATCCAACCATTATTGCACTGATGCTGTCCAACGTCGCTCTTGGGATTATGACAGTCATCCTCATATCCACTCTTTGCAAGAGCCGGAGGAGAAACTCCACAGGTATTACACCATGTGTTGTAACGGTCAGCTTTAGATCTGCAGCAGAATCAGAACTGGAATTGAGTTGTATTTTTTGTTTCTTCAGCGTCAACTGATGGATCTTCAGAAGATCATCAAGTATGAGTTTGTCTCAGCACCAACAATTTCCTTTGTATGCCGCATATGACCTTTACCGTTTCATTTTTAATCTGCCTTTTGATTTCCTGCTTCTGAATTATTTGAATTTCCATTCCTCACAGACTAGTGATGCAGTTACCTATACAGAACCCAGAATCCTGCCCCGCAGACAAGCTGCAGTGAGATACTGTGAAGGTTCTGTCCTATATTCAGACGTCAGACACTGTCAACCGAACCGAGAAGATTCATCTTAAGAAGGCGGACAACAAGGACGAATTAAGACTATGGAGCATGAATGGATATGTCCTATCAGAGCCGGCAGCAGACCTAAATACATGGGTGGCCATTTGATTTAGGGGTCGGGCCCAAGGTAAACAAATCTGTTTATTGATCGTGCTGATTCATTACCAGCATATCTCCCTATCTATATGTAACATTATGTGCATCTGGAAGTTCACTGACCTGAAAACAACATGGTTAAAGTATATTCCTATTTAAGTATTGAAAACACAAATTAACCGGGGCATTGGCGACAACGGCCCAGCAGAATGATAAAGTAGGAACAACCAAAATATTGAAGCTACCTGGAACCTCTGTAGGTTCAACATTTTGATTAAAAAAAGCAATTTTTCTATGTGTTCTGTCCACTCATTTACATGCAAAGATCACGTCTGGATCATTGAAAACTGTATATTTGTAAAGTGACTGCTAACACGCTTGTATATTTTAAAGATTACATATTAATGTGATGTGAAAATATTAAAGCTTTGCCATGTCTGCCTGTGGCGCTGAGGGCTGACTATTCTGTGGATTGATGTAATATGTGATAAACTGTATAATGTACTGCCAGTGCATGGAAATAATAAACTTATATATCAGTGAACAGTGGTGCTTTATTGACGGAAAAAACATATTCGGACAAATGTTATTGTTTAAGTGAATAAGAGAGGACATAATTCAGTAAGACCAACCAGTACAGTACATTTAAATGAAGTTAGGTTGATTTAGTGTCTGCAGTCTAAGACAACAGCATTGACTACCATTGTAAAAAAAAAATCCCCTCTGGTCTATTTATATCATCATCTATTTAAAAGCGTAAGCAGACGGTGCAACATCTCTGCTTTTCGCTCTTGTTTTGACTCATGTGGTGAATATGGTCTGAGCTACCGTGAGCAGGTTTCCGCTGGTGGAAACTAAAGGCCTTGTATAAAGACAGGAAGACTGGCCTGGGGTCTACAGGCAAAAACTTTCAGCAACTCAGACAAAATCAAGAGCAAACAAGAATGTTAAAAAGTGGGCTGTAGTTCTATATAAGGCTCATGTCTTAATGGTCCCACGTCATGCTTTTCTGGTTATTACCCATCCCCTTGTGTGTTATGTAGCTTTTTATTCATGTAAACGGTCTGCAAGTGGAAAAACCCTCAAAGTACACCCTGTAGCGAGTACAATTCTAACACAGAAAAGACCTGTCTATGCTGCCCCAGAACGCCTCGTTGGAGATTTCTCTTTTTCCATTTTTTTCCTCCTTGGTATGGTGACGTGACCATACCCAAATTGACCAAACCGTGGAGCTCCTCACAGACACACACACACACACACTCTCTCAGCCGCGAAACTGTGACGCGCTGGGAGGGGTGCTAGTGGAGCTTCTTGCGCGCTTACACTGTAGGTGCGTTGCGTTTGGGGGTGCGGTGGGGGGGGGGTGCCTCGCAGATGGGGGTGCTGCAGCCCCCTCAGCACCCCCTCTTCCCGCGTCCATTCGCGATGTCTCGCTGTCTCGCAGACCCCATGCAGCAACTAGGTAATTAACCCAGCTCACACTGTCCGCTCCTCACAGCAGCGAGCCGCGCAACGCCCCGCCAACGCGGCACCCAGACCCCACGCAACATTCTCATCTGTTTTTCATTACTGGTGTCATTTTCTGGTTGCAAACGCCATTGTAACACATAATCACTGATGTTCCGCTGTAACGGTGGTGGACTCATCAGAACAGAGTGGGCGAGCTGACCAATCAGAGCACACTGGGCTCACAGGGAGGGGAGACTCTCGCTAGAACAAGCCGTTTAGAACAGAGAGTGAATACACTATACAGAGATGCTGTATGAGAAACCAATTGAAAATTGCAAAATGTAAATCTATTCTAGTAGACCTCAACAATGGAATTATGATCAGTAGAAATGGCCATGTCATGGGACCTTTAAATGCAGATAACATGCTGTGTACACAAAGTGAAAATGCAATCTCAAGGGCGGAATGACTACCGCTGAAATAATGCAGTAGGAGGTGTATTAACCTACTTTTTTAAAAGAGTGCCTGGTATGTGTTAACTCAATAATAGTTGTGCTCCCGGGCTCTGAATGAATGATTTCTGTGACATAAAAACATGTTTAAAACCTCATAAGCACCACGGACCCGGTTCCGGGGCCGAAATCGCGTCATTTGCAGGAAACAACGTCTAAGGAACCTTAATATTTAATAAACTATGAATATTTTATATCCATATAACGGGAAAAAACTAATTTAACTGATCTTCTTCATTTTTTTTCTCGAAAAAACACACAATGCTAACAGTGAGCCTTTGAATTAGCCCCGAGCGAAAAATGCTAACCTATTACTGCACCGAACATCACTCCTAGCTCCTTTATTACTTATCCTA